CTGTTAAAAATTTAACTTTCACTTTTATTGTTACTGCATTCCAAGCAGACTATATTGTTTAAACGTAACCTTAAGTTCTATTGTTTGCATCCCAAGCCAGTAACCAGTTTCAGGTAAGGGACAGGAATTTGTATGATTCATGTATTTTTGTAATATAGCAGTCATTAGCAAGTTGACTTGCAAGCGATACAGTCCATTGCATTAAACGGAATTATTAATATTCGTATTTTTTATCCTTGAACCAGTCTTTTTGTAACATAAAATTGGTCATACGTAGCCGGATATTATTCAATTAACGCGTTCGTGAAAATTATTTGTGATTTGTGGAATTTCGATTCTCCATTAAATCAATGCGAAGTTGCTGTTCGGTGAACTCAAGGACGTCAACACGAGGGGATGGATGCGGAAAAGCGATACATACGATTTACAGCCAGTAAGTCATCCTTTAATTATTTACTTCCTATTCTTACTACTCAATTTGAACAAATATTGCGATTTATATTTCTATATTCTTGTATTGCGTAAATATAACAATCATGCCTAATCAGGAAGAACTAGCAGGTGGTAGCGTTGAATCATTAAAATTATTTAAAAACAAACGTAAGAATTTAAAATCCTCTCTTACTCGTTTTCAAAATTACGTTGCCGGTTTAGAAGAATCTTTCGATATTTTCGAATTAAAGGCAAGGGTGCACAGATCGGAAAACCTTTTAAGCGAGTTTGAATCTATACAAGATCGTATTGAAACTTTGGAACATTCAGATGAATTAGACGATTCAGATCAAATCATGGAATTTGAAAATAATTTTTTTAAAGTTATGTCTAGGGCACGAAAACTTATTGAAACGTGCCATTCTGCACATGCTTCTTCTAACGGTACAAATTCCAATAGCGTTCAGGGTCACCAGAGCTCGTTTAACCCTCACAATAGCATTATTAAATTACCCACAATGCATCTTCCCGAATTTGATGGAAGTTATGACAAATGGATGGGTTTTTACGATACCTTGGATGCCCTTGTAAACAAAAATGAATCACTAACCAACGTTCAGCGCTTTTATTATTTGAAGTCAGCCTTGAAGGGCGAAGCCGCCCATCTCTTAAATTCATTGGAGGTCACAGATGCAAATTATAACATCGCGTGGAATTTGCTAAAAGAGCGCTATGAAAATAGAAAGTTAATAATTAGCACGCACATTAAATCCATTTTTGAATTACCTTTAGTACTTAAGGACAGTCATAAATCATTGCGTTCACTCATTGACAATTTCAACAAGCATTTGAGATCATTAAAAAATTTGGAATTGCCTACAGACAAGTGGGATATTTTATTGATATATATACTCGTTAACAAACTCGATACGACTTCTAAACATGAATGGGAAAAATCCTCGGTAAACAACTCCGATTTACCAAGTTTGGCGGACTTATTAAAATTCTTAGTAGATCGTTGTCAAATATTAGAAAATATGAGCGGTGACGATTTATCCAAACAGTTGTTACACAAACGAAGTACCATGAATCATCTCACCATAAACAATTCAACCATTACGAAGTGTCCTTATTGCAAGGGGGACCATATGTTATTTCGCTGTTCAGAATTTTTAAAATTAAGCGTACCAAATCGGTGGAATGAGGTCAAAAAATTGAAATTATGTACTAACTGCTTCCGATCGAATCATTTTAACAATGAATGCAGAGGATCATATTGCCGAAAATGCAACCGAAATCATAATACTGTACTGCATAATAACTCAAATGATCGTTCGCAAGCAGACGGTACTTCAAGCACGGCTCCTAAAGAAAATCCAACATTAAGACGTGATACACAAGAATTTCGAACCCAAAGCCAAACGCATCTAGTCGCCAACACTACCGAAACAATTATCACAACACATTCCTTTTGTCCAGAAAAATACGTGATATTATCAACAGCAACAATTAATATTAAGGGCGAGATGGGCAAACTGGTGTCATGTCGCGCTCTATTAGATTCAGGTTCCCAATCGAATTTTATCACAGCGGAATTAGTACAAAAATTAGGATTAACGGGGTCTAAAATAAATATGAAAGTGTCAGGCGTGGATAGATCCACTACAAACATAAATAAAAGGGTCACTACGGAAATCTCGTCTCTATTCAATAATTTCAGACACGAATTAGGATTTTTAGTATTACGAGACATTACTGGTAATGTACCGATCAACAACATTGCCATTGATAACTTAAAATTACCTCATGACATTAATCTAGCTGATCATGAATTTCATATTTCGAGAAAGGTTGACGTATTATTAGGATCAGGAATATTCTGGAATTTGTTGCGTATAGGGCAAATTAAACTTTCGAATCATAACGCGATGCTTCAAAAAACAGTGTTAGGTTGGGTATTCGCAGGATCTATTAATTGTAACACGAACGATGAAGTACAGGCATTACACTCATCCAATGTAGACGTGCAAGATCAACTGGAAAAATTTTGGAGTATCGAGGAGTGTGAAGCACAACGTGATTTCACAAACGAGGAAATTTATTGCGAAAGTCATTTCACTTCAACATTTAAACGCGACCCCAACGGTAGATTTGTAGTACGGTTACCCATGCGCGATAATCATTTTAATTTCGAAAACTCATTAGGTAACGCGACGCGTAGATTTTACTCTCTGGAAAACCGATTTTCACGCGATTTAGAATTCAAGAAGGCATATCACGAATTTATTGATGAATATGAGAGGCTTGGACATATGAGCGAAGTAAGGCCAGAAGACGATACACTACAAACTATTTTCTATTTACCACACCACGGTGTGATCAAAAACTCCAGCACAACAACAAAATTGCGAGTCGTATTCGATGGCTCGTGTAAATCTACGTCAGGGCAATCATTAAATGACAAATTGTGTGTCGGACCTCATATCCAGAGCGACTTATTTTCCATTATAATCCGTTTCAGAAAACACAATATTATTTATACCGCAGACATCGCCAAGATGTATAGACAAATTAACGTAGCCGATGATCAAAGGGACTTACAGCGGATTGTCTGGCGAAACTGCGATTCAGAACCTTTGCGCCATTATAGGTTAAACACCATTACTTATGGTACTGGCCCAGCTTCTTTTTTAGCAATGCGATGTTTACAACAGCTAGGAAACGAGAACATGGAGCAGTTACCAGATGCAAGCGACGCTATAATCAATGATTTTTATATGGACGATTTGATAACGGGAACGAGCACAGTGGAAGAAGCTATTAAAATTAAAGGCGAAATTACATCAATTTTAGCAGGCGCAGGATTTCAACTTCGAAAATGGGCATCGAATCACAAGGCAATTCTTAATCAATCGGACTCTAAACGCGAGGTAGATAAATATTATATTTCGGAAAAGGATGCCAAAACGTTAGGTTTAATGTGGGATACTGACGTGGACACAATCGGGTTTTCATTATCATATAGCGCGAAGGAAGGTAAAATCACAAAACGATCTATCCTATCAATTGTTGCGAAAATTTTCGACCCTTTGGGTTTATTAGGTCCACTCACAATACGAATTAAAATAATATTACAACGTCTGTGGAAAAACAAATTAAGTTGGGATGAAGCGGTGCCCTGGGATATTTATATTGAATGGAAACGAATTTTAAACAATTTAGGCAATGTCGGTGATATAAAGCTACCAAGACAAGTAACCATTAAAAACTATGACGAATTGGAGCTACATGGATTTTGCGACTCTTCAGAGGAGGCTTATGGTTGTTGTGTATATATTCGTAGTATTGACAAAAATGGAAACATTAAATGCAATTTATTGTGCGCGAAATCCAGAGTAGCTCCTCTGAAACCTATAACAATTCCGAGATTAGAGTTATGCGGGGCAGTCTTATTAGCGAATTTGATGCGTAAAGTTATAAATTCCTTCAAAGCAAAATTTAGCAAAATTTGTTACTGGTGTGATTCTACAATCGTATTATCGTGGATCAATTCGGAGCCAGCTAACTTTCAAATCTTTGTTGCCAATCGCGTGAATGAAATTCAAAAATATAGCGATGCTTCACACTGGTACCATGTAAAAACGACCGAGAATCCTGCCGATTTGATTTCTCGAGGGTTAAGCCCGGAAATGCTTCGTATCAATTCATTTTGGTGGGAGGGGCCGATGTGGCTTAAAGAGACAACGTACATATTACAAACAGTAAAAAAGATGAATGAATTACCGGAAACGCGAAACACTAATCATAAAACATTGTCACTTATTACCATTACGGAAGAATTAGAAATACTGAAAAAATATTCGAATATAATTAAATTACAACGCGTTCTAGCCTATTCATTACGATTCGTCAAAAACTTAAGCACTCACAAAAATGATAAACTGAAAGGAGAACTATCGGTCGATGAAATTAAATGCGCGATGCGAAAACTGATTTTAGTTGTGCAAGCCCAATCATTCAAACGGGAAGTTGAATTAATAAAAAACGGGAAACGGCTATCAGGTGCTAGCCAAATTTTGTCACTAAATCCGTTCGTAGATAAAGATGGTATACTTCGCGTGGGGGGAAGGTTATCTAAATCTTCATTTAATATGCGACACAAACACCCTATAATTTTGCCTTCCAACAGCACATTAACGGATTTAATTATCGATCATGAACACAAACGAAATCTGCACATAGGTGTCGAAGGTACCCTATCGATTATACGTACTCAATTTTGGCCGATTCATGGACGCAGTACAGTAAAGAAAGTAATTCACAAATGCATTAAGTGTGCTAGATTCAGACGTAAGAATATAATACCCCTGATGGGAAATTTACCCCGCGAGCGACTTCAGCCTTCAAGGCCATTTTTACACACCGCGGTCGATTACGCCGGACCGTTTTTAATTAAAGATGGGAAAACCAGGAATCGTAAAATTATTAAAGCATATTTGTGCTTATTTGTATGTTTTGCGACCAAAGCGGTCCATTTGGAATTAGCTGGAGACCTAACAACGCTATCCTTCTTAAATGCCTTTAAAAGATTTGTTGGAAGAAGGGGGATTTGCAGCTCACTATATTCAGATAACGGCACCAATTTTGTCGGTGCTAATAGAGAGCTAAAAGGTATTATTAAATTATTAGATACATCTGAATTTTCTGATTATTTCAAACAATTAGATATTGACTGGAAATTCATTCCTAGTCGCTCACCTCATTTTGGAGGTTTTTATGAAGCGGCCATTAAATCGGCAAAGTCAATTTTGAAAAAGGTAGTAGGCAACGCCCACTTAACGTTTGAACAGTTGTCCACGGTATTTGTTCAAATTGAATCCGTACTAAATTCCCGGCCCATTACACCTATCTCCAATGATCCTAACGATTTACTGGCGTTGACGCCGGGACACTTTTTGATTGGAGACATCCCTCAAGAAAACGATTTTTACACACCGGAAAGACGATTAACCCATTACACAAGACTGAATCAAATGTTCCAACATTTCTGGAACAGGTGGAGCAAAGAGTACACCCACACCCTGCAAGCTAGGAGCAAGTGGAACTATCAACGCGAACCAATTCAAACTGGCACGATGGTACTGTTAAAGGGCGAATCAACACCTACATTATTGTGGCCGCTGGGGAGAGTCGTGGAGCTGCATCCTGGTAGCGATGGAACAACGAGAGTGGTAACAGTGCGAACCGGAAGTGGACTAGTCAAAAGAGCCGTCGCGAAACTGTGTGTGCTTCCTATTGACGTATAGCGAAATGTGCTAGTGAGAAATCAATCTGTGTGATGAATGATGATTAAGTAGGTTGTATCTACTTGTTAATATTTGTACAATAATTTAATAGTTGTATTTAGGTTTAAGCATTTGTATATTATTATTTGTATATTGTTGTGTAGTTAATGTATTGTATTACCGCATTGAAAGTAAGGTACTTTCAAGGGGGGGTGTATGTTAAAAATTTAACTTTCACTTTTATTGTTACTGCATTCCAAGCAGACTATATTGTTTAAACGTAACCTTAAGTTCTATTATTTGCATCCCAAGCCAGTAACCAGGTTCAGGTAAGGGACAGGAATTTGTATGATTCATGTATTTTTGTAATATAGCAGTCATTAGCAAGTTGACTTGCAAGCGATACAGTCCATTGCATTAAACGGAATTATTAATATTCGTATTTTTTATTCTTGAACCAGTCTTTTTGTAACAATATCTAAATTATTCCTGACCAGGATTTTAACTCATTTGGCAAATAACTTGATTTAAAGGGGTTTTTGTAGTTAACCTCATTTTTAATTACAATCGTGGCAAACCAAATCATCGAACGGGTTTATTTCTTACTAACTAATCTAATTTATTGTTCCACCGAATTACATTTTACAACGTTAGGGGATTCGAACAGAGGTAAATTAACAATACATTTACACAGTTCTTTAACATGTTAATAGGTTCTTGTAGCTTAATTAAAATGTTAGATAGATCGGTAGTGTAATAATTTATTACAGAAATACAAACATTTACATATCCGCCTTGTAAGGTCATTAAAAAAAAGATTATGCGAGAATGTAAATAATGCCGTGTTCATCCTCATACAAAGCATCCTAATCTCGGGGCGAAGCATCAGACAGCCGGATTCAAGGAGAGCTACGTTAAAAGGCTCAACAGCACCTGCACGGCATTTTAAATACGTCTTAACCCCAGTTATTCTGAATATTTTATAGGAGATTATGGCGATATTCCACTAAGCGCGTCCTCTGTGAGTTGCCCAACTTAAAAAATGAGATATGAAATGGATTTTTTCTGTAATATATTTAGGAACTTATACCGTAAGTTTATAGGGCGATTTGTTTTCGGGATGCTGTATACGAAAAATCATATTTAGTAGTTTTTTGTATTCGCATACGCTTTAGGATCCCAGCTTTCGGGTTACATAATGCATGGTTTTAGTGGTAAAGTTATACTCGTAACTACTCTGGTTTTGAATTGAGGAAATTGTGTTTGTTATAAATTAATTTAAAAGCTGTTTGACTCCCAATTGGATAAAATCTCTTGACAGTTTGACAATTCGAATATAGTCTGAAAGGAATAAGGGCAAATTATTTTGCGACAGAAGCAAGAATTTAAAGTTTTGCGATTCAAAGCGTTGTATCTGAACATAGATCTATGTTAGTAGTATATGAGATACATCTATTTCTGGCAGACAGAATGGAAGCTGTACATAACTTTCAACCATAGTTTGCCGCAAACTTTTCATCTATATTCGAAACGAACCATAATATTTGCGCTTCTAGTTCATGTAGGTTGAGCATGATTATAAAACGAGATACCTAAATATAAATCTAACCAAATATCCACCAACAAAGAATTTAAAGTTAAACTTTACCTTTAAAAATAATTTGTAACTACAATTACCACCTAATTTTTCAATGTCTATAAAGGTATATTTACTACAATACAATTTTCATGAATGCAAATCATTTTCAAAGAAAGGCGTTTAGTTAAATTAATTTCTTTTGTTATGCTGGTTTCTTTAAAGTACGTATTTCAGAACTTTCGATTGTTTTATTTTAACACCTTTCTAAGTATTTAAGTTCTTAGGGACTGAACCTATTAATCAATTTTCTTGGGAAATAATTTCTGTGCATTCCAGTTAAGACGAGTTACCCTTAATATAACTTGATAAGTAAAAAGAAACACTCCAATGTTTTCAGGGAGACACATTTCTACGTAAAAATCAACATTTTCGGACACCCTTCCTCTTAACAACCTACATGTCAAGAATATCAAAAAGTTGACCTTATAGTTTGCAATGGAATTTAAAAGGTAATGTATTCCATTTCTTCTGCCACTGCTTATCGTTGGAAGGTAAAGCATGTTACAGGGTTGGATCAACAGAATTATAAGACCTTTCAAATAAGAGGTATCACTCGACTGTTACTTTCATTTCCAACTTTAGATATGAGGGTTGTTGTGGGGAGGGGGTGGCTAACAGGCGGTTGATTTTTACGTAAAAATGTTCTTTAAATCATCTAATGGTTCGTAGTGATTCCTTTTAAGGAATACATAGGTGGGTGAATTTGTACGTATGCTATCTTTTGAGAGAATCTATGCAGAATGTGCTAGATTAATTGCATGGATAAGGTCAATCAATGTACCATGCTAGGGGGTTTTATGTGCTCTGTTAAAAAAACATTGAATTTCGGAATTTAGTAGAAATTATTTTAAAAAAATTAAGGGAAGTAGGTAATGGCGTAATGACGTAACGTAAAAAATGTACCTATTGCGTAATTCGATCAACATTATTTGTAAACAAATTAGCAAATTACATACTCGTACATAAGAGTAATCATATCAGTCAACTCCTTCATTCATACTCTCGCCGAATAAATCATCAAGTAAAATAGTCCCATTATTCCTGGAACAATTACTTTACTTACTTGAAGTAACCCCTACGACCGACGAACGACCCTTGCATCTCTGTAATCTACGTTTGACACCGTTTCCTACCGCATACAACTTACAATTGTTCGCGCATCTTTAAGGATCGATATAGGTTCTATTTGTTTGTTCTCGCGAGATGTTTCGATTTCGTATCTCTCAAAAGTTGCCTGATGTCGTGCACTGAATTTTATAAGGAAATGTACACATAACCTGGAAACGTGATTTAATGGTAACTGTGTCATATTTTCTAGAGCGAGATTGATGCATACTTTAAAATGCTATTTAAATCATTCTTTCCTTATTTTCTGAAATTGCGTTTACCCAGTGCATCGTAATACCAGAACATGACTCCTGTGCTTTGAATGTTATCTACATGAATATTTTCCCGATGAATGTATACAGGGTGGTGCCTAGCGCAACGCAGCATAGGGATTTCAATGGTAATTTCTTTATAGTCAATTACTAGCTCCCCTAATTATTTTAGAGCAAAAGTCTAAATACGTTTTTTTAAGAAAAAAATACTGCATCTGTTCGTACTTTTAGTTATAATTTTCCATTTTTCAAAAGCGTAGAAATCGACAAAATAAAAAATTACATTTTTATAAATCAGTGATGCTTTGGAATCTTTTAACAAACTACAAGCGCGTGGCATCTAAGCTATCGTTGTTTGACGTCGAACGATTTTCACTTATAATTGCACAAGAGGTTTGTATTTTACCGAGTAAATTTGGGTTGTTTAGGTAATGAAAATCTGTTACCTAGTAATTAGACGAGAAAAACTGTCAACTAATAAAAATGCGACACCGCAGGTGGAGCATTTTTAGGTTGACAGTTTTTCGAGTCCAATTGCTAAAAGGCAACAGATTTGAATTGCAACAACACAAATTTACTCGGTTTAAATACAAACCTCGAGTGTAATTCGGCAGGACAATTTAACGAACAAGAAATTCACCAAATTAATCAATTATTGACAGACGTCAAACTAGTCATATGGGAAAGGATAATGCGATAATTGGTTCGAAAATGAATAGTGAAAAAACCACTAGTGCATTTGTCGCTGGAAAAGTTGCAGGTAACTTTTGCCGCTGTCAAAGTGACAATTGCACTGCGGCTTATGCGATTTTTTATACATGAGTTGAATTGTCATATTTAATTCTGTTTCAACTAACCGACGCAATAAAAGGCATCTTAGGGTAATGTTTTTTTAGAGAATGTATGCTGCATCTGCATCAGATACTATTTGTTTATCATTTTCCGGAATCAGAGTACCTACATAATCGAAGAAAAAAAACTGATTTGGAGAAGATTTGTTCCTAAACTTATATTCGGATTGTCCGCTACTGCAGCCAAAACGTTGAATGTATTGTCGTTTTCCTGATGGTTTTGACGGACATTTTGAACGTTATTGCACTTGCAGTTCTTTAACTAATTTATAAACAAGTATAAATTTAATATACGTCAAAGGCAAATAATGAAACGTGATCGCTGTTTTTTTAGGTAATTCCAAGGCATATTTGGTTTATTGTAAAATGAACCTTTTTATTTTGTCGATTTCTACGGTTTTGAAAAATGGAAAATTATAACTAAAAGTATGAACAGATGCAGTATTTTTTTCTCTAAAAAAAACGTATTTACACTTTTGCTCTAAAATAATTAGGGGAGCTAGTAATTGACTATAAAGAAATTACCATTGAAATCCCTATGCTGCGTCGCGCTAGGCACCACCCGGTATAGTTGTTACTTTACTCACCTATCATTTTTAATTAAAACGGTAGAACAGCATTACATTTTTAATTCTGTTTGTTATAACCACAGTGTAATAGTTATTTATGCATCAAGGGCGTTAAGGAGATATTTACACCGAGGACGATTGAGGCCGAGGGATTGTAAGTCGCCCGAGGGTTAAATATCGAGTAATGCCTGAGGTGCATACAACATTTTATTTTTCATCGTTCCAAAGAATGCATTTCCAATATACAAATGTAATGATTATTGTTTGACCAACATTAAAGTGCTTCATACGAATCAAGTAGCTTTTTCCTTGCTTAATTCCATCAATATATTTGACAGGCCGTTTGGGGGTATAATGAGATGACAATCCATTATGCCCTCTTATTATTAGGGAAATGAAAAACAAACAATAGAATAGTGAAACAACCTCCATGTACAATGTACATTTTGAAAACAGCGAATTTAAAAAATACAAATTCATTACGCGCTTTGGTGCCCAAAAAATAATGGTTAATGGGGTAAGTGCAGGCCCTTTTCTATTACGCAAACAAATGCACATACCAAAAATAAATAAATTCACTCTT